GTTGCAATGCACCCCAATGCAACGTGGCAAGAACATAGACAGCATAGACAAGGAGCTTTCATCCCTTGAGAGGACACTAGAATATGTAAATGAATTAGGACACTGACGTGGACTTGCGTGGAATTCACAATACGTTCACATCACTGACTATTTGGAATTCGTCTGGTTCGGCTGAATAGTATTATATGTATGATTAGATATATATACAATTGTGAATAATGCTCTATCTGAGTTGATCTCCTTGTGCACTAATTGGATATCTAAGTTCAATGATTGATTAAGCAGGAGACAGGTACATAACAACCGTTTTTGACAAAGAACAAATCTAATACAGAATTTAATAGCTCTATATAGAATCTAATTGATCTATATTGACTCAAATAGAATCGTATAGATCTATTTGCCTTAGAATCAGATATCATAACCAGTTATTAGAATATACAATTGGAAATGATAATGAAAGAATGAAGAAGAATCTGAATGGACCAAATTAGTTCATCCCATGCCTCTTGTGTTCATTACGTCACATGTCCGGTCACTAATACCCTTACTAATACCTGACCCCCATCGTTAAAGCCTTTGGTCTCTATCCTTATTCCCAATTCGTCTAATTGCATCATTAACCACCATCATTTACGTCCAGTACTACAGTTCATTCCGCTGGTGTTATCGTATTTCATCATCAAGGGTTTATTTAGCAAGACAACGCTCATGAGTCGTGATTAAAGCTCATCTAAATGTTTGCCAGATCAAGAGAACACAAAGGGATTGTGGAGGATTCAGAAAGAGGGAGAAGGGTGAGTAAATGGAGATGCAAAGAGAGAATTAACAATGGTGTGAAGAAATGTCATGTGCAAGAACTTTGTTGCTACAAAGTCCGAAGCTGGTTTGTAGAAACAGGAGAAGAACCGAAAGAATGATTTTAGATTATGTGATCAGAAGGTATTAGAATGAAAATGAGAAAATGATTAATGAAAGTAAAGTAGTAAAATATACGGATCATGACGAGAAAGAAGGAAGGAGATAAACAGAAAACCGAGACAATTCCAAAGACAGATATAGAGGAGAGTGAGAAAGGGAGAGAAAAAAAGAGAGAGTAGGAGACAGAAAGAGAGAGAGAAAAAAAAGAGAAAGAAAGAGTGGGAGACAGAATGAAAGATATAAAAAAAACAGAGAGAAAAAAGGGAGAAAGTATAGCAAAAACACAGGAATACAGAGAAAGAGAGAGAAGGAAGGAGAAATTCAGAGAAAGAGAGGTAGAAACGGGGAAAGCGGGAATTATCAGGTATCATAAAACAGAATTAGGATTAATAGTTGGGAGAAACGAGACATAACGGGGAAGGATGGAGACAAGCTAGATTGTTCCACACAGGGACAGAGGTAAGACAAATGAAGGGCATCAACCAGGGCAGCATGCGATAGTGCGTGCCCACACGAAGAAAAAGGGCGCCTTTACTCTCATTCACTCACGTCCTTCCCCCTCCCCTCGCCCCCACCCCCCTACCCCCGCATTAACGGGATGACCTTTCTCGCTCCGGCTGTTATAACGATGCGCGTAACTTTAGTGGATATGTGTCGTTTTAAGGCTTGCCCTATTTCCGTCCTCGAAATTAGAGAGAGAAAAAAATACCTTTTGTATTTGTTTGTCTCTTTCTATCTCTCTGTTTATCTCTCTATCTATCTTTTTTTCTTTTTTGTCATATTCCCTCAAATATCGTTGAGCTTCGTTTTCTTGACTTTTAACATTTTAACACGCATTTTTCTCGTGTATTTTACCACAGTTGTCAATAATACTACTGTGAATAATATATATCCGCTGCTATTTTATCACTTACTAGCCTGGTCATTAATATTCATTTTTACTAGTAGAGCAATTTCATTTCAATTATAAAAAATACCATGTACGCATACCGTACCCAGGTTTTATTGATATCATGATAAACTTTTTTTTTCCGAAGCTTCATAAGATAAAAAGTTTTATGGTTGCGGCACATGCATCACTTCTTCTGAGTTTGCTGGAAATAGTTTTGTATAAATCCAGTTAATCAAATTCTCTTGTGTGACGTTATCTTATAGAGATATTAATGCTGTCTAATACGCACATATACACACACATGCTTACATATCCTCATGCACACACACACGCGAGGGCAATCACACACACACACAAATACAGACAAAATCACACACAAACACACAATCACTCCTTCACACAAACCCAAACACGTACACAAAACACAAACTCACACAAAACAAACACAGACACATTCACACACACACACTGCCGTATAGTGAAGACTCGCTATCCACATGACACTATCCACATGACACTATCCACATGACACTATCCACATGACACCGACCGATAGCCAAGACACCTGCAAGGCTTCCCCGACTGCTAGGTCTTGACGCTGAGGCGGAAGTCACTCGGGGACGAAAGCTTGAGGGAACCGCATCCAGGGGCATCGACTTTATTTGGCTTTTTAAGGGTACGTTTAAGGGGTAAATGGGAAGGGATAGGGGGAAGGGGAAAGGGGGAAGGGGAAAGAAAATAAAGGAGAAGGGGAAAGGGAAAAAAGGAAAGGGGAAGGGGAAAGGGGAAAGAAAATAAAGGGGAAGGGGAAAGAAAATAAAGGGGAAGGGGAAAGGGAAAAAAGGAAAGGGGAAAGGGGAAGGGGAAGGGGAATGAGAAATGGGATAAGAGGAAAGGGAAAGGAAAAGGGGAAGGGGAAAGGGGAAGGGGAAGGGGAAGGGGTAAGGGTGGGGTGGGGACAAGTAGGAAAAGGGAGGGTCAGAAGGAAAAGTGTGTTGGATCTCTTAGTACATGTGTAGGTATGTATGTACACACGCACATATACGTACATACATGCATACATATACGTACATATACACATGTGTGTTTTTGTGTTCGCAAGTGTGTATGTATCGGTGTGTGCGTTTGCGCCTGTGTATCAAATAAATGTGTTGGTGTGCTCTTGTATATATATATAAGCTATATCCGTGTGTTTATCAGTGTATATGTTTGTCCTTAGCCAACAAAACACATTCGGTGGATCCAAAACAAACTCTTTTTTTTCTAGCCGCAGAGTTTGTTTAAGATGGCGATCACACGTCGTCCCCCCCTCCCTCTCCCCTCCCCTCGCCCTCCCCCTCGCCCTCCCCCTCCCTTATAACCTCCCTCTCCTCTCCTCCTAGCCCTCACCCTCCCCTATACCCCCTCCACCCCCCACCCCACCCCTCTCCTTTTCTCGCTTGCGGACAGTCGACAAACAACATCAACTTTCACCACATGTCCCCTGTGGTTATGTGAGACGAAGCCGCCATTGTGTGAAGATCTCTCTTTTTTCCGATATGAGTTGACCAGTTATCTCTGCACCGAAGAAATATGATTGTCTAAGTTTTTTGTTTGTTTGTTTGTTTCTTTTGCGATTATATAAGTAACGGGTGTATATCTAGAATGCTGACATTTCCACGTTTGAATTACATCCCCAGCGCCGTCGAGAAAAGTTAATATAGACACGAAATGGCTGCCACATTCCAAATTATTCTTCTCCGGTACACAGCTGTAAGGAAACACAGTATCCCATAAAAACAAAATTTATGGAAAAGTTTGGCTGAATTCAAATGGGAAATATCATAAAATGGATATTTTCATATTTTCCATCCGAGTCGGAGATGTTTCCGGAACATCACTGCGAATAACATCATGCAGAGATGTTGCAGCGCAGAACTCTCTCCCCCCCAAAAAAGAAGAAAATACATTCTGCAACATTCTGCAACACGAATAACCTCGTAACGACACACGGTACGATGAAAACTCAAAATAAACACACTCATTATCGCGAAAAAATGAGCAGTGAATATACATATATTTTTTTTTCTTTTTTCTTTTTTTCATTTTACGACTTTCCCGTCTTCAGAAACAAGAACGGGAGAACTCCATTCCATGCATTATATTGGGCCCGATTGCTTCCTCCGTGATATTATGTTAGTGTTGTAAACGACCTCTTTGCACAAGGGTAATATAATACTGTTTTTTTATCGCCGAGATAAAGTGGAAATTTCGCCATCTTGAACTAGAACTTAAGATTCATTCAATATCAATTGCACTGTTATGTAGATAGCAATAGGAACGCGTACATTTCAGATACCCTTGGATAAATACTGTGTGTGTGTATGTGTGCGTGTGTGTGTGTGTGTGTGTGTGTGTGTGTGTGTGTGTGTGTGTGTGTGTGTGTGTGTATGTGTATGTGTATGTGTATGTGTGTGTGTGTGTGTGTGTGTGTGTGTGTGTGTGTGTGTGTGTGTGTGTGTGCGTGTGCGTTGCGTGTGCGTGTGCGTGTGCGTGTGTGTGTGTGTGCATGCATTATGCTTAAAAAAAATCTACCTCTTCCGCAGACCTTGCTCTCAAACCCACGAACCTCAGGCTCGCCACTAAAGAAAAGTATTTAGCGCCGCAGTGCACTGGGCGTGATATACAGGCAGGTCATTAGTGATACGAGTCGTAAACTCTCTTAAACAGTGATATTCCAAGCGGTCGGGACACTGCCCTGGGTACCTGTGCTCTTGGAACCGCATTTAGGGTTATTTAGAAAGGCGAGTGGGGGGAAGAGGGTGAGGAGGGTGGGGGGGTAGAGCACGAGGCAAGCACTGTATCCTTTCCGTCGTGCAGCTCGACGTCTACGAGCGCCGTTTACTTCACTTCCGCTCTTAACGTGCTCCTGTACTCTAAGCCGACGAGCACAAACTGTTATGTTACATGCTAGGCTTCCATTAATGATGTCGATAACACTTCCATAAGCGTCTGATGTTCGATGAACCACACAACTTAAGTGTTCCCCCCCCAAAAAAAGATGCCAAAAGCGAGAGGGTCCTGGGGGGAAAAATGCCAGGTGTTGTGGTGACGTCACCTCACCTTGGCACCCCGTCCCCCACGTGGCCTCCTCTGGCACTGCAAACCCTCCGAGGATGCTCTAAAACCATTTCCTCTTTCGTTACAGTGATCTAGTGAAGGGAGCGTGACTGCTGCTACTTCCGCACCTGCGCCTACTTCCTGTGTGTGTGTGTCACTTTTCGACTGGCTGTGATAGCGTCTTCTGTTTGTGATGTCTGGTGTCGCTCGCGGGACTAGATATTAAACAAGTACCCCCTCCAAGAAAAAAATAGTCCGTTTTCGTTCTGATTATTTCAAAGAATCTCCCCCTAAAAAAATAAATCAATCAAGGAATCGGACAATAGAACAACTGACACACAGACACGTGGATTCCCTCTAACGTACTCACCTAATCGTCTCCTACAAGACACCGTTCTCATATCTACCTTCCTTCAAGACACCAACAAGTCGCCATCATGTTTGGAATGCTGAATCCCGTCAGTGCGGTGACCAGTAAGCATTTTATTAATGATGTTGATTCACAAAGTATTTTTGATTTTGAGTCTCAGGCATGTTTCTGACATGATTCCTTCAAAGCGATTTGAGAATGATATACCACGCACGGTTCAGTAAGCTAAGATGAACCTTAAGCCTTGGTAAAGAGACGTCAGTTCCTTTATGTTGTTATTATCCATTGCTATCATTATCTGTCATTATTATTGCTGGTTTTGTTTTCATTATCGTTCCTGATATTATTACTATTATTGTTACTTTTTTTCTGTGTTGGTATCATCATTAAGATAATGATGGTCATGTTTGGTATCTGTTACTATAATCATCATTGTAGTTTTTTATTATTACCAATATCATTTCAGTTATTATTACTCATTTCATTAATTATTATTATAACTGTTATTATTATTCATTTCATTAATTGTTATTATTATAACTTATTATTATTCATTTCACTAATTATTATTATTATAACTGTTATTATCATTGTTATTAATTTTATTATTGTTATTCTCGTTATTATTATCTTTCTCTTTACTATTATTATCATTATTATTACTATCACTATTATCATTATTGATATTATTATCATAATTGTTATTAATATTATTATCATTATTATTATTATTATTATTATTATTATTATTATTATTATTATTATTATTATTATTATTATTATTATTATTATTATTATTATTATTATTATTATTATTATTATTATTATTATCACTATTGCTATTCTTATCATTACTATTATCAAATAATTTATTATCACTAACACTATGATTTATCATATTCACTATATCATTATATCTAGTATCATGATTATTTTCAGTAACATTACTCTCATTTTTTATAGTGAGTGAACTTTTTGCTTTATCATTTTAATCATTAATTTGTCCCTTTATTTATGCATTCATTTACTCTCAAGTCCCTTTCTTTTCTGATCGGATCTCGCCTCTGCGTCGGAGTTTTTTTTGCTTTATTCTTCAAGCACCTTCCCCGTTGCTTGTTTTTTGACTCATTCCACACTGCATTATTTTTTTTATTATTATTTGATTAGACTTTAAGAGGCTTCCAATCCCTTAGCTGCACCGACCCAATCAAACACTTTTCCACCACGATTTCTCACAGCCAAAAAGTGCTTGCAATAGTCAATTTCCAAACGATGTATTTTCCCTTCACTATTTTACTCTTTTTTTTTATCTAAAAGAACCTAATCTAGAATATTTTTTTTTTTATTTGTATATATATTTTCTCTATCTAAAAAAAACAACTCCCCTGTAGATTACCCCTATATGAAAGTCACTTTTTTGTGAAGATAATATGAGCTTTGTTAATGACCAGCGTAACGGTACGTAATAGTAGTGACCAAGGTTGATAGTTCCTCGCATGAGTTACCCTTTCGACCACCATCCCCTCTCCAAGTGATGTTCGTGTTCATTATCTCTCTACGACCTTTGTAAATATCGCCATGAACATAAAGGTGAAGACGGGGCTGATAGTGTCATTTGAAAGAAAAGGTTTGTGAATGCAGCTGTTTGCCTCTCTATTTTTTTTTTTTTTTTATTCCCCGAAAGCTATAAGGATGGATAACTGCATTTGATATTCTCAGATTTGATTGGTATGATAAGCTGAAATTCTATTGCTATGGCGTCGAAAGCAGCATGCCATTTTATCAGTGACTGAGAATGCTATATATATATACGCAGCTGATGCACGATAGCTACAAGGAAGTCTATATCACTATCTTATCTTTTTTATATATACAAACATTCAATAGACAGCATCAAACACACCAACATTACTTACGATAAACGAGATCAACCTTTGTTCGAGTCAGGCAAACGGATAAATAGAAAAAAATGGAGTAAGGAGGCGCTTCAGAAATCGGAAAAGAGCTCTCCAGACACATAATTACCGACTGCTTGGAGCTCGACCTCAAAGCCAGGCAGAGAGTTACGTGGCGCAATAAGGAGATTCCCTGAAAGAAAAAAAAAAAAATAGGTTCACAGAGGCACACACACACACACACAGCTTGAGTTGCTTGAGTTAATGCATTCTGGCGAAGGGAGGCTTGAGATCCGCGTGACTTTGAACCTCGATGGGCTCTTCTTTCGGCGAAATCTCGAGTCATTAGACGTCCGGGTTGGAGGAAGGCGGATAGGGGGTGGGGAGGGACCGGCGGAAGGGGGAGGGGAGGGAGAAGGAGGTGGGGAGGGACCGGCGGAGGGGGGAGGGAAGGGAGAAGGGGTTGGGGAGGGTACGGAGGGGTAAAGGGGAGGGACCAGATGGGGTTGGAGGGGGTGAGGAGGGACCGGAGGGGTAGTGGGGAGGGACCAGATGGGGTAGGAGGGGTGAGGAGGGACCGGAGGGGGAGTGGGGAGGGAACGGAGGGGTATGGGGAGGAACCGGCTGGTTGAGGAGGGGGAGTGGGGAGGGATCAGAGGGAGGGACCGATGGCGGGGGGGACCAGGAGGAGGGCGAGGATTGGTTAGACCTCGTTGCTACGGCGGAGGGAGGGTCGGGATAGGCCTAAATGCAGCCATATAATGATGAATATGACAATAAAAGTGAATTTAGTAATGGTAAAGAATACACCCACCCTCCCTTACTCCCTCCTCTCCTTCCCTCACTCCCTCCTTCGCTCCCTCCTCCACTCCCTCCCTTCCTCCTCCCCACCCCCCTCTCTCTCTCACCGAAGAGACAGTGATCAAGTGACAGATAGATCGCCTGGGGACATCAGTGAAAAACTATCTATCCGTTTCTCTCTCTCTCTCTCTCTCTCTCTCTCTCTCTCTCCCTCTCCCTCCCTCCCTCCCTCCCTCCCTCCCCCTCCCTCTCCTTCCCCCCTTCCTCTCCATCTTTTTCCCTCTGATCTCAGACGCAGAGACCCTGAGTAAGCCAATAACTCCTCTGGCTTTCAGAACCTGTAGACAATCGTGACTCTCTGTCCGGCTGATCAATCCTATGTAGGAGATTTTCTTAAGCCGGAGGGGGAGGGGGGGGGGGGTCATGGTGTCTTTATAAGCTGAGGGGGGGGGGTGATAGGGCCGGGAGGGGGGAGGGTGGGGGCGGGAGGGGGGGAGGGGAGGGAGGGGGGATAAGGGGTGGAGGGTGGAGGGTTAGTGGGAGATACGGAGAGGAGGAAAGGAGAGAGGGGAGGGGAGGAAGGAGAGATGGAGAGGGTGGAAGGGAAGAAAAGGAGGGAGGGGGAGGGAAGGAGAGAGGGGAGGGGAGGAAGGAGAGAGGGAGAGCGTGGAAGGGAAGAAAAGGAGGGAAGGGGAGGGAAGGAGAGAGGTGAGGGAAGGGGAGAGAAGGAGAGAGGTGAGAAAAGGGAAGGAGGGAGGAGAGGAAAGGGAAAGAGGGAGGAGAGAGGGAGGGAAAGTAGGAGGTTTCACCGAGTAAGAATAAAGTTATCTAGAGATAAAGAATTGAAGTGTGTGATCTTGTTCTTGATATTTGCCAATGCTTTCATTTCCCTTTTTCTCTTCCTTTTTCATTATTTCTTTTTCCCCTCCTTCCAATCAGATTTTTAAAACTTTCTGTTTTTTCTTTGCTCTTCTCTCTCTCTCTCTCTCTCTCTCTCTCTCTCTCTCTCTCTCTCTCTCTCTCTCTCTCTCTCTCTCTCTCTCTCTCTCTCTCTCTCTCTCTCTCTCTCTCTCTCTCTCTCTCTTTCTTTCTCTCTCTCTCTCCCTCCATCTCTCCATCTCCCCCTCTCTCTCCCTCTTTCTCTCTTTCTGCCTGTAGCCTTTATCTACCTATCTTTCATTCTCTTCCTCTTATTTTTGCTACTCCCTCGGTCTATCTACATTATTCACCCTTTTCCCTTCTCTTTCATTAGCTCTTTATCACTCCGTCACTTATTTCAAATTTGAAGATAACGAGGCATCGCTATAAAAAAGTGTCAATCAATACAAAAGAGAAGAAAAAAAAAAGAAGTAGAAAAAGAGAAGAAGATAATAGTAGAAGGAGGAGGAGGAGGAGGAGAGAAGAAGAAGGAAAAGGAGGAGAGAAAAAGAAAAACAGAAAAAGGAGGAAGAGGAGGAGAGAAGAGGAAAAGAAGAAGTAGAAGGAGGAGGAGAAGAGAAGAAGAAAAGAAGAAGAAGAAGGAAGAGGAGGAGAGAAGAAGAAGAAAAGAAGAAGGAGGAGGAGGAGCAGGAAAAGAGAATATAGAAAGAAAAGGAGGAAGTGGAGGAGGAGGAGGAGAGAAGAGAAGAAGGAAAGCAGAAGAAGGAGGAGGAGGAGAAAAGAAGAAGAACTAGTTTCCAAGTATTTGACCACAAGGGATTTCAACGCCCATTCTTTTTCGATTCTTTGAAAATGAAAAAAGTATATATATATCTTCTCATTTATCTTTTCCCTCCGTTCTCCCCTATCGACTTTTCTTCCTTCCTCTCGCATCTCTCCCCTTTCTTCTTCTCCCCTTACCTTTCCGTTCATAAATCTTATTTTTTCTTCTCCCACCTCCTCTTCCGTCTAACTCTTACATCCCCTTTTATCCCCTCTTTCATCCCTCCTTCCTTGTCCCCCTTTCTCTCTCCATCTTCCTATCTCCCATCCTCTTTTCCTCCCTTTTCTATATACCATCATCTTTATCCCTTTTCCCTCTCCGTCCCCCTCTATCTCCTCTCTGTCTCCTATCTCTCCCTCTCCGTCCCCCTCTATCTCCTTCTCTCTGTCTCCTCTCTCTCCCTCTCCCTTATCTTCCATCCTCATTCCTCCTCCTAATTGCCTCCTCCTCCTCCCGCTCACGTCCATCCCCCCCCTCCCCCCCCATCTCCCCCTCGTACGTCTTAACTTCTCGTTATAAGAGAAAATTAGCGTGTGCCTTGATTAATATTTTTTTATGGCTAATAGGCCTGTACAAAGAAGTAATATGTTACCTCCATTAATTCGGGAGAAGTAATCCTACGTGTAGAGATTAGTAGGTAAATAATCAGGTAATCGGGTAATATTACGGTGGTTCGGAAAAGGCGAAGAACCGGACGACAGAGAAG